AGTAAATAGTTCAGCGAATCACGGTTATATCTATATACATATATGTATGTAGCGCACTGTCAGCCAACTCACAAGCGCATGACAATTAGCGGTCCAACCGAGCATTCAAATAAATGGCAAGAGATTAATGGCATTTATTTTTCATTTCCACAACAATCTGGTAGCAATTTCGGCAAATTTACAGAGTGCAAGGGTTAAGCAAAGGCGCTGCATGTGAGCATATATTATTGTAAAAGTGTTTGTGTGTGTGTGTATGCTTCGTAGCACATACGGGTTGTGGACTGCAGGCTAGCGGATTGCCAAAAAGGAAAGAGTGCGCGCTGCCATGTTACGCTTATAACGGTATTGGCGTTGTTGGTGGCAGTTCAATTTGTTGCCTGGCAGCAGTGCTATTGCAACTACGATGCCTGCCACTGCGCGCTTGCCAAAGAGAAATTTATATTTGCTTTTTTTTTAGATGCTGCTTTCTTTGTTTTTGGCGCAGCAGTTGGAAAGACAACACGTTTTTGGCCTCAATACATGTAACGGTATTGCGCAAACATGTCTGTGTATATATGTGGGTATGTATGTGTGTGTGCTGCTTTTTACTACTCGACCAGGCCTTTGCTGCAACTCGACATGACCGCGGGTGCAAAGGATTAACTAATATATGAGGCTAACGTGCGGCGGTCTGTGAAATTCCGCCAATTTTTTGTACTCCTTGGGAAGTACAAAAGTTTCCGTTGCACAAAACATAGAAAAAAATAAAGAAAAAATCGAAAGAAATTGCTGTTGGTGTCGAATAAAAATTTAGTGGTCGGCTACACACACACACACATATGATTACACAAATACATATACATGCTATACATCCTGGCAGCGCCTTTTTGGCTTGCCACACTTTGTAAATTGTTGCCTTTTTCTCGAAAATTGTTTGCCGCTCTCAAAGTAATGCCGCTCGCGCTGAGTTTGATTGCACCAAAGTAACTAAGTGAGGGATTTAGGAAATTGCTAAAGCAAATATATAACTCCCTTGGGTTGCATTAGGCAGATAGAGGCGCACATATCGCACATACACAAGAACACATAAATGCATGTGTATATGTATGAATAGTTATACATGCTGCTCATATTTCGCTCTTGGCTCTGCTCTTTTTCACAGCTGCCAAAGTTGTTAAAAAGCGTGTTTCCTTTGTCTGCGGTTTGACCTGTTTTCGCTGTTGTTCTTTCTTTTCAAACGAAGCGTTTTTTCTTTTACTGTACTTTTTCATAAAGGGGAAAGGAATTATGTGTGCGGCGTTATATTTTATACAATAGAATTGTTTGATGAACGCGAAGTAAAGACAGGGTGGTTTGTTTAGCAGATGAAATTACAACAGAATCTTAAAAAACGATCCCGAAGCTAGAATACTCTTCACAAATAAAAAAAGTTGCGAGAAAAGAACTTGATTTTGATCGTTCAGTTTGTATAGTAGTATGGCAGTCAAATCAGAACAATTTCTTCAGAGATTGTAGCACTGTTTTGTAGAATAACCGGTGACAAATTTTGTGAAGATATCTTGTCAAATAAGAAAGTTTTCCATACAAGAACTTGTATTTGATCGCTCAGTTTATATAGCAACTATATGCTATAGTGCCCGATAGCGGCGATTCCGATAAACGAGCAGCATCCGGGAAAAAAACTGATGTGCGCGAAATTTCAGGTCGATATTTCAAAAACTGAGCGAGTAGTTCGCCTATATACATATGGACAGACGGATATGGCTAAGCCGACTCAGCTCAATATTTTCACCATTCAGCTGATCTTTTATATATATATTGTATATATCTGGGATCATTTTTCAAACTTTGTGGCAAACTTAATATGCCCCCTTCAGGTATAAAAGAACAAAGATCGGTACCACAATGCAGAAACCTAATTTTTTTAAAGTCATGCGTAGAGTATGGAGTAGAGTCTTTCAAAAAGCCGAGACGAAGCACAAAAACATCTCTCGTCGAGACAAACTTGTTTACAGACTTGTATTATAAAGTGCCGAGATCTAAGACCCAAGGCAGTATTTTTTAAACTCCATTTAAAAAATATCTAACAAAAAATTAAATTAGTTAAACATACTTTTTATTATTAAAATTACCCCTAAAATGGTAAAGTTTACTGTTCACTCCTAATAGTATGCTACACCGTAGCGCCTGTTTACCAAGCCTCAGCGCACTACACGTCCATTATGTGCGTAATAAATCCACTTTTAGTAAATTTTTGACATTAACATTTTGAACAATGAAAAAAAAACGTAAGCGAGCCGCAGAAATTGAAGCGTAAAAAAGTAAAGAAAAAATATTTGGAAAACGCTGAATGTACGCGGATATTCCCCGGTGCGCTTAAGCGCAAAAAAATATGCAATCAAACTTTATAGCCAGCAATAAAGTGTATGAAAAAGGCTTTTCGTCGGCAGCTCGTAGCTATCGGGTTGATGGAAAAAACTATTTAAATGTTTTTTTTTAATTTATTTTCTTTTTTCTTTTTTGACGATTGTAAATGGTGTTAGTGGAAAATATGTTTATGTGGAATTCAATGACTACTATAATAAAAATGCTGAAAGTATTTATATAAAAATATTACAGTTTTCAACAAAAACAAAATATTTTAAATATATGGAAAGTTACATTAAAAATGTTACTGTGTTTTAAAATACCAGCAGTAAAGCTGGTTCTGGTTTTAAAACAATTGTTTTATATCCCAATGCTTTTTTCTAACCGGTTGTAAGTGCTTAAATATATTGAAAATTTAAAAAAAATATTCGTACATATTCGTACATATTTTTTTTCATATAAAACAACGGCAAAAACATAATTTAAAAAAAAATGTATAAATAAAACCGAACATCTATAAATACAATGTAATAAATCAGAAAAATGTTTGAGGAAAAACATTTTCGTGCAAAACTCGTTTTCAAAATTCTTAATGCATATTTCGTAGGAGTAGAAGTATCATAAATATAAATGAAATTAAAAAACATTAGCACAAAAATAAAGAAAATTATAAAAATTATTGGTTCGAAGCATAAAAATCAAGGAATTTCAAAAATAATATGTACATAAAAAATTACAAAAAAAATTTAAAAACTAATTTTTATTAAAATTAATAGGGAAATATATTATATTAAGAAAACTGATAAACACAAAAAAAAACTTAATAACAAAAAATTCAAATCCCAAAAATGCTATTTATGCTTGCAAAAAGGAAAACCTATTAGCAAGATTATTTGAGTTGCACAAAAATTTAAAAAAATCGAAATAAAGAAAAAAAGTTTTAAAAATAAGAAATAAATTAAATAAATAAAAATAAATAACAAAAAATTAAAAATAAATAAAACACACAATAAATAAGATGTGAAAAGTTATTTACGCTTGTAAAATCGAAAACCTGTAAGAAAGTTGCAAAAAAAAATTTATTATTGTAAAAAATAATATAAAAAATAAAAATAAATTTTAAAATAAACAACAAAAAATATGTGAAAAAATTAATTATGCTTGTAAAAAACAAAGCCTGTTAGAAAGCTTATTTGAGTTGCACAAAAATTTCAAAAAGTCGAAATAGAAAAAAAAATTATTTATAGAAGAAATCATCAGGTAATTCTATATATTTTTTTGTTTTTATAATATTGTATGTTGTGGAAAACAAAAAAACAGTTTTTAAATTAATTCTTTGTTGTTTGATGGTTTTTGCAATTTGTTAAAAATAATTTGTGTACTATAAAAAATAAAAATTTAATTTATATATTGTTTAAAAGTTTGTTTATATAAAAAAATTGTTCTAACCGTTAAGACAATGCAATCATTGCTTGGTGTAAATATTTGAAGAAAATATATAAAAAATTGAATTTAGCTGCTAAAAAACTGCTGAAATTTTGAATAGTAAATTTTTTAAAACTAAATTTTAAAATATTTAAAAACGAAGATTTGAAAACAGTTTGAAAATATGAAATAAAAATATTTAAAAAGGAAGAACATATTATAAGCCATTATAAAAACAGTATGTTGCATAAAACAGTATTAACGGTAAATATTTATTAAAAAATATGTGAACAATTTTTGTTATCACATATTTTATGCGCGCTTTGTTGGCAATAATTCTGCCACAGCAGCACAGCTGAGCTGCGCTTGCATTTTACATTAGTTGATGCTGCCATATTTTCCATATATTTCAGCGACTTTTAGCTGGTCGCAAGCCAAATTCGACGTACACACACATACAATGGCTAATGCTGACAGGCAATGCATGGCCAATATAGGTTTATTGCTAACTAAACTATACGAAGCTAGAATAACACACAAACACATATTACATACATATCTATATAATATTGCTCAGTGTATGTGTGTGCGCATTTGAAATTATGTGTTTCCATATGTATTTGTATATGTAGGTAAGTGTGTGTTTGCCAGTTTGCAATCATTTGGCCATGCGGCTAGCATAAGTCTGGTGGCAGCTGCAGCTGCACCTAAAAATATGCTTTGTTTTACATTGCTCGACATAATTCGTTGGCGCAGTCATTCATTTACTGCTTTGCTGCGCTGTTTTTATTTTTTTCGATTTGTTTTTTCACTGAAAAATGCATATGTGTGCGCGCTTACTTTGTGTGCAGGTTATTTTATATGTATGTGTGTGCGATTGCGTGTGTAACTTTGTGCCCTATAACCTTTTCGTTGCTGCATAATTTCTGCTGCAGCTGCTTAGTTATTACAGCTCACCACTACACACAAAACTAGCATTTCGCTTCGCACATTTCGTGCAGCCAAGCGTTGCTTGCATTTTTATTGCCTTTGGCAACACTCTAAGTGTATTAAAATTGCAGTGAAAAAATAGATTGCAAGAAATATCGCAAATCGAAAAGATTGCATACGAAATCAGCAGCAGCATATAACCAGAAAGCAAGATTGAAAAATATCGGACTTGTATAAAGTTGCTATAGAATAAATTTCTTTTTGTTTTTACATTTTATAGCAATTTTCTTGGTACTCACCTGCAACTGCTGCTGCTACTGCTGTTTTTGCTGCTTGTTATTGTTGCTTTATCCACAATTTTTTGTTGCTTTGCTGCGCGCTCCTGCGCAGCTTTTAGCTACCCTAAATAGTCTGTTCAAAGTTTGATATGAATTCGTTGCGCTGATTTTCCCACAGCTGTTGAAATTCTTTTGCTTTCAAATTGCAATCGCTCGCGTTTGGCTGCAAGCTGTAATGAATTCATAGAAAGATGAAAGATGAAAATGCATGCATAGCAAATCGCTTAGAATGTTGTGATTAAATTAGCTTTGTTTAGTTTTGATTTGCAGTGGAAAATTTAATTATCTTTCGATGAGTAATTGAATTGCTTTGGAAACAAATTAGCACGTAATTGAAAAGTTAGAAAAAATAAATCATTAGATAATAGTGGAGAAATATTGAAAAAATTAATATATATTGGTGAGGAGAAATAATGAAAAAAATATCGAAAAAATATTACAATATAGTTTTTGATTGAAAATTACAAAGCAGTGTCGCTTTGTATAGCATACTTTTGAGCGCCGTTGCTGCAAATACTTTACATTTATATGGTTGCTATATGTTGTAGTTGTTCAATCTTTTTGATTTTTTAGGCGCACATTTTATGTGAATCAAATAAATATTTAACAAAATTTGGTATTGCTAGCAGTTTAATTGAAGAAGTTATGGCAAAAAATCGCATATCTTAACAAACGATTGTATGGCAGCTATATGTAACTGTCAACCGATTTCAAAAATTTTTGGCATCTGCCTGGGGTATACAACAAAAAGGTAGCTTACAAAATTTCATGTATTTAGCTATACAATTTAGAAAGTTATAACATAATTCTTTATATCTTAACAATCAGTTGTGTGGGAGCTATATGTAATTGTCAACCGATTTTAATAAATTTACGCCTTTACTTTGCTTATACTATAGTCAAGCAATACACAAAATTTCACGTTATTAGCTAAACAATTAAGGCAGGTACACCACAATTTGTCATATCTGAACAATCGGTTCAATGGCAGCTATATGTTGTAGTCATCGAATTTGAATAATTTTTAGTACCAGTTTTGTATACATAATAGCAAAATGTTATATCTGAATAATCGGTCCATATGAGTATGTACGTAATAGTCAACCGATCTAGCATCACAGTCACAGTATATTTTCTATTTATTATAACTAATTAGTTTACAAAATTTCGTGTTTTTAAAAATATAATTTTAAGAGTTATAAGCCAAAACCTAAACTCCGAAAAATAGGTTGAATGTTAGATATACACACATACATATATACATCAGATGCTTCGTAAACTTTTCAACTTTTTATATACATAGACTAAAAAAAAAATTTCAAAAAAAAATTTTGTTTGTAGAAACGTAGTTGGAAAAGTTTTAGAAAAATATATGTATATATATCTGAAAAATCGGTTTAATAGTACATGCGCTGCAAAAAAATGGCGTCAATTGTCTTGCTTTTCTACATCTGGCAGCTAATCTCAAAACTGTTGCACTTCAAAAGTAGTAACTGAAGCTTAGTAGAAAAGTCAGCATAAAAAGGTATATTTAAGCCGTAAAGTAATATCTTAATGTGGGTTCTAGAATCCACAAAAAGCTATAACTGAACACTTGGTATTATTAAAGGCAATTAGTGTCACATTTAAAAACAGCGCTGCCAAACAAAGTATGTGTATCACATATGCAACCCCTTTTTTATACAACGCCTAAATATATGCAGCAACTGCTGACGTTTAAACCTATAATTTAATATATGAAATTCCACAACTTCGGTTTATCGCCGTAAATATGTAGTACAGCAAGTGCTGTCAGCTGTCAAGTGTTTACAAAGTAAGGCGAAAGATTTAATGCCCGTTTATGCGCCTAAAAGTATACAAATAACAATGTGTCTAATATTAAAATAGACAAACTTAATGCGTTGTGGCTCAACGGTGAAAATATTATGGCGGAGTTGTGAAAAGTATGTGTCTCCCTACATATATATGGCTGAGTATATATATAATATATATTATATAAAGCATACAGCACAGAAACGATTAAATGAACATGTACGAGTACGTGTGAAAATAACAGTAAATTTATGGTTAAGTGTAGCTGTGCAACTGTATGATGCTGTAGTTGGGTTTTTGAGCATGTTGCATACCTGCACATATAAACACATGCATATATGGCACATACAAAAAGCATAACTGTCAAAGTGCCACTTTGCGTCTTGTACGAGCTGACATAATCCCTAATAATCCACGTAGATGCACGTATGTAGGTCTACGCCGCTTAACGTGCGTGTACTTAAAAAATTTCGTATATACTTGTACAAATATAGTACTTGAGAGTATAAACACATGCGTCTATATGGTACATCTAATCTACATTCCAAAGTGAACTTTTTAGGGTTGAATCTAGATCTGGGGCAGTTGGGTAGTTTGGTTATTCAGAACAAAAAACTTGAAAGCTATTTTTAAAAATATTTACACCACAAGTATAAAATAGAAGCTGTTATAATATTTAGCCGAACTATAGCGGAACTATCTCTCTTTTGTGAAAAGTTAAAATTTTATGGATAATAATTAATAAGAATATTAAAAATTTTAGGTAGACACAAAAAAAAAATTATAACTAAACAATCTAAAATTTGTAGTAATATAGAATTTTAAAATATTTAAAAAATAATTCTTGATACAAAAAAAAAAAAAAAAAATATTTATAAATTGGAAAAAAATTACTGTTAAAAATTTAAAAAAAATGTCGCTGTTAAAAATTTGTTAAGCGCTAGTTAAAAAATAATAGCAAAAATATATTTGGAAAATGTGTCTGGAAAATTAAAATATAATATTATATATGAGAAATCCAAAGTAGGCGCATTACTTTTTATTTACGTGATATATTCCGGTTATAAGGTCATTAAAATTATAAACAAAGGCAAAAATTCAGTTTAACAAAATTTATTTAATAATTCAAAATAATTTATAAAAACAATTCTTACTAAAATAAAAAATATGTGTATCATGTTAAATTTATTGAATAATTGAGTGAAAGTGTGAAAATAAAATTGTGAAAAAATTATAATATAAAAAAATATATATAATTAGGCTTAAAAATATACAGTTTACGCTTTATTCTCAAAATATTGCCTAAAAAATATTTAATGCATAAATAAATAAAAAAAATCAAAATAAAATGTGTTTTTTAAATTTTTAATATTTTGTTAAAGTTTTTAAATAATTTTGAATAATTTGCCCAATTTTTTTTTAAATTATTTATAACAATTTATAAATATATGGTAGTTCATTCAATAATTACAAAATATATATAAAGTTAAATAATTAAAAAAAAAAAAATTATAAGGTTTTGTGGTTTTAATCAATAAATAAATAAATAAAAAAAATTTCATCATGTTAAACTTAAAAAAAAAGAAATTTGCCAGAAAAGTCTTAAATAAAAATTTGTGAATGAAACCTATAAAAGATATAAATTATCTGAAACTATTAACATTGCGATATTTTTATAATATGGTATAATTAAAAAATAGGTTCGAATATAATAATAAATAAAAAAATATTTTAAGTTAAGTAGTTTAAGAAGTTTTGTATACAAATGCTTTCTTAATACGTTTCTCTAAAGCAATATTTTAAGTTAAAATATAAAAAAATCTGTTAGAAAATATTTGGCACAAAAGCACAAAAAATAATAATAAATAAATAAATTTCGAAAATATAATATAATTCTTAAAGCAATTGCAGTAAAAATTGTGAATACTATACTTAATTGCAATTTAACTAAACATTTACTCATAGAGGATTGTGGGAAAAAATAATAATTAAAAAAAAATTTTTGTTAAAATAACAAAATATAAATATTAAGAGAAAAGTTTTGAAAATAAACGTTTTTTTTCAAAGTTTTCTTAAAAACTTTCCAAAGATTAATGAAAGGCGTTAAAAAAAAAATGTTAGAAACTATTTGGAAAAAACTTGCTCAAAATTCAATTAAGGAAAGAAAAAAAAACCAAAAAAAAAGTAAACTGCTTAAATTTTAATTTTATTTTAATATACATACATATGTACATTCAAAGTCCAAGTATATTCACTAAAATTGGTTGTCCAATTTTATAGTTTTAACATAATATAATAATTAGGAAAATGTGTAAAGAAGTAACTTCCTTTGAAAAATTTTTAAACAACTTTAGACTTTTATTTTCAAAGTATTTTTTCAATAATTTCTTTTTTAAAAAATTACTATTTGTTGGTTTTAAATAATTAAAAAAGTTCTTTTTTTTTAAATATTTTTTATTATTATTATTTTTGTTTAATTTTTCAATTTTTTTTTTAAAAGTATTGTTTCAGTGCTGTTTTTGTTTTTAAAAATTTCATCTTTCCGAAATTTTTAATAATCAAAAACATTTTTTTAGTAAGAACAATTATTTGTCAAAAAAATTTTTTTATTTTAATTTTAAATTATTAAAATAAATATCTCTTTGTCAATTAATTCATTATCATTTTTATTTTTGTTTATTTTCTTAGAAATATATGAATATTGTTTTTTGTCAATTTTAAAAATAACTTTACAAAACAATATTTTTTAGTAAAATTTTTGTTTTTAAGAATTTTCTATTTTAATTTTTTTTGATAATTAAAAACAATATGTTATTTAAAATTATGTTATGACGCTCCCTCATTCTTATATTTTTTTTTCAAAATTATTTTTTTAATTTTTATTTTATAATTGTATATGTTTGTATAAGGGTGAGTTGAAAAAAATAAATGTTTTTTTTTTCGTTTGATTTCCGAAAAATTAATTGGTGGACATCTCAAAGAAGGGCTCTCCAAGTATCAGCTCTTATTTGTAAAGGGAAGGTCCTCCGCCTTACCGTTATCAATTTTTTCTTATAATCGGATAAAAAGATTAATATCTGGCTTCCAACTACTTGAAGCCATATTTAAATCAATGAATTTTGTAGGAAATTTAATACTTTTTATTTATATTTTTGTAACCTGAACCGTTTAAAAGATATTAACGTTTGAAGTTTGACTATTTTAACGCAAATTTGTTTGAATTTTATAACTCATTGCAAAAGCATCATTTTAAATTGCAAAGCTCATAGTTTTGTAAAAAATTTGGTATAGCAGTAAATTCTCTACAATACTATTAGCTTTTTGACCCACCCTAGTATGTATATACATATGTGTCTAT